GTGCGTGCGTGCGTGAGTGAGTGAGAGTGAGAGTCAGAGTGAGAGTGAGAGTGAGTGTGAGTGTGAGAGTGAGAGTGAGAGTGATAGTGAGACTGAGTGAGCGAGGACAGGAGGACGGGAGGAGGACGGAAGGCGGAGCGGATACAGCACTAAAAACAAAACCCCGACACGTCAATGTGGGGAACTGCTACTACTACTACTACTACCACCACCACTACTACCATTACTACTGCCATTACTACCATTACTACTACCACCTTTACCACCTTTACCACCACTACTACAATTACTACCATTACTACCATTACTACCATTTCTACCATTTCTACCATTACTACCAGTACAACAACAACAACAACTACTACTACTACTACTACCACTACTACTACTACTACCACCACCACTACCACTACTACCACTACTACCACTACTACCACTACTACCACTACAACCACTACTACCGCTACTACCACTACTACCACTACCACTACCACTACTACCACTACTGCTGCTACTACTACTACCACCACCACCACCACTACTACTACTACTACTACTACCACGACTACCACTACTACTACCATTACTACAACAACAACAACAAATTACTACTACTGCTGCTGCTACTGCTACTGCTACTACTGCTACTACTGCTACTACTGCTACTACTGCTACTACTGCTACTACTCCTACTCTACTACTACTACAACAACAACAACAACAACTACTACTACTACAACTACAACCCTAGGACATGCATTAGCAACCAATGAAACAAACCATAGCTTCCAATTATGTATCTGCTTGTTTGATAAATAATCACATATGAATATCTTTGTGTGATGATTAAATCACATTTTTTTTAACCAATCAACATATTTTGGTCGCTGATCTCCGGGCCTGTCTGTCCAGGATTGCGCCGTCTGCGGTGATTTGGCGGTGAGCTGTGGCCTGGACACGTGGTGTTAAACCGGGCAGCATAGCATAAGATTTCACAGGAAGAGGTCCCCCGAATAACGTTTTGCAACAAAAACCAGACATATCATGATGCATCTATCATGAACCATAGTCAGGTTGGTGAAATAAACGAATCAATTTAAAAAACAAGCTATCACGGTTTGTCTGAAAACACATTGCCATACACCTACAGGTAGGGATGGTTTTATTGTGCAAATAGTCGGAAAATTCGAAGATGGTTTTGTGCCATACGAATTTTTAAGCGAAATAAGGAATCGGCTGTCTCGCTGTTGACCAATGCCCTGTCATTGGCATCTGGCCATCCTGGAGGGTTCACCACATTGCCTCCAACCATAGTCATCCCACACTAGGCTAGAGGTAAGCTACGAGTAGCGCGAGAGGTAATATGCGACGGGCTAGTGATTGGACGGATGTGGCGGACCATCCTTCGATTGACCCGCCGAGGTCCGGCACAACACGCCGCCAATCTAGTTCTTCTGAACTACGCTCCCAGAATCTCAGGGCACTGTTCAGGGGCCGCCCTGCAACTCCAGAACTGTCGACATCTTTTTTCAGTATCAAAATAAAATGTTGAAAAGGCAGTGTTTTTTGCGCTTTTCATCTTTGGAGTTCATTAAAAAAGCATCATTTTGTACTGAATGGGCCAACTCAAAATGAACGAAATGGTATTTCGTTCAGGCGAAGCTATCATGTTTGAATAACATTGGGAAAAGTTTGGAAATGCGTGTTGATCTAACACATCACAAGCATTCGGGAAATTTTTGTGTGATGGAACCTACGATGGAAGCATGATGCTTCCACTGGTAACATCTGCTAGCGTAGCATCTAGGGCATGTGCAAGCGTAGAAAATATTGTGTTACCGTAGCATGGATCGTCTGCTAGAGCATGTGCAAGCACATATTCTCTTCTACCATAGCATGGTTCATCTGCTATCGTAGCATCTAAGGCATGTGCAAGCGTCGAGCGTAGCAACATATTCTCTGCTACCATGGCATGGATCATCCGCTAGCGTAGCAAATAAGGCATGTGGAAGCGTAGAAACATATTCACTGCTAACATAGCATGGATCATCTGCTAGCGTAGCATCTAAGGCATGTGCAAGCGTAGCAACATATTCTCTGTTACCGTAGCATGGAACATATGCTAGCGTACATCTAAACCAGCAGAGTACTCAGAGTACAATAACTTTTTTAGCCCCACCCCACCCCATCTCTAACGTAGCATCACGTGAGTGTGCAAGTGCCAAGGGACGTTATTAGCCCCACTCCACCCCACCCCACCGTACCATGACCGAATCCTACCTTGCACAACATCCAAGCATACAGTAGCAAAAATTCACAACATTTCTGGGGCGGCGAGTCAGCCGATAGCCGCAAACTACTCTAGGGCTGTCGCCCACAGCAAACAAGCAGCACAGTTGGTTGAAACGGCAGAAAACATTGCATCCGCAAAAATACACAAAATATGAAATCACGGGTGCGCGTTAATCATCTCATCTCATCGTTTTGTGATCAAAAACTACGGTAACCAAAGGGGCGGCAGGTATAGTACACAAAACGTGGTCTAAAGAAGCTTTGTGAAGGCAAAGGAAATGAATCTCTGGCCCATGTCCCTCATTATTGGCAGCGAGCTATCATGTTCCCACATGTGGGCAAAACCGCAAATTCCTCAAGGGTTGTCCTGTTGCATTTTGGCACGTGAGCCACGAAAAAGACCTCAATAGATTGTTTTAATCAGGGAGATGTCCTACAGCACTTTTGCGAAAGTGAAATGCTGGGTCACGAAAGATCGCGAAAGTAAAATTGCTTCGCGAAAGGTCTCGAAAGCTCATGTTATGATTTTGTTTTTTCTTCATGACATGTTGGCCTATGTTTGTGAATCTTTGGATAAGAAGGAGCACCCGTTGATGATTGTCTACAGGAAATTGGCAGGTGGGCACCCGAATTTCCCGAAAGAACCGCGAAAAATTCGCGAAAGGGCCGCGAAAGATGCAAAGGACCAAGTCGACCAGTCTCCCTGCAAAGTCTCCATGCTCCTAGCCACATTTTTTCTGGTGAAAACCTGTCCTTCTCCTCTCTTCTTTCCACTTCCTCTCTTCTTTTTCTCTTCCTTTCCTGCTCCTCAGATGGGCGGATGAGGTGTGTGAAGAGACGGTGGGCAAACACATTGCATTGAATGCCAGACTTAATCTGTCTATATCTTTTTCATGTGACTACAGGCTTTCCCCTTTCACCGCGAAAGGTCCGCGAAAGAGGTTATTGTAGCAGGGTTTTCGCGCAAGGCACCGCTGTGGCCGCACAAGTAAAACAAAAGGATTCGCGAAAGACCCTTGTGAGTACAAAGAGTTAGGATAGTGGTTCTTTTTACAGCTCACGAATGCTTTTGGGGAGCCAAAACAAACCAACGAATCATAAATTGCGTTTAGAACATCTTGATACCCACACATGAAACAACAAGAACCGTGTGGTGTCTTGGTCTTGAATCTTTGATGTCTGGATCGTGGGACATGTTTTGTACGCTCATCCATTCCCTGCACCGGCCTCTAAAGCGCTGGACAATGAAAGGGACGCAGCAAAGACCTGCGTCGCTGAGGCTTCGTGACTTGGATTCCCGATGCCCAGGCTCCCTGTTTTGTTAAATGAGGCTTCTAGCTAGGTTAACTATGGTTATGTAACTTATGTAGATATGTCTGTAGTTATTGGGGTTCTTGAGCCAATTTACAGTAAGGGGCGCCACCTTTCATTGAAAGTATCAGGAAGCCAGTTTGCTCACTCCACGGCCCCTCTTAAAATGGCTTTGCTCATAGCTTGTTGGCGCCCAACCGAACATCATCCAATCGTGATCTTGTCTGAGCGGCAACACAACGCACCAGCTGATAGAAGAAGTATACCTCCATATAGTTGTATGTTTGCGTCGTCCCGCCGCTATAGAGCCGATTTTAGATCCGTACTCTGCGTTTTGCGCCCAATCAGAATCTCTTAAATACATAATACTAAGCCCGGTATCAGAACTAGCAATATCCCCGCTACAAAAACGTAAGCGGCAACCATGTGTTTGTGTGTCTATAAAAATATATAGGATCACATATAAATATATCTGGTTGGTGGGTCCCCCAACTATAGGATTATCGCATGTACACTATTGGTATAATTATGTAATCCTATAGTGGTACTACCAGGTAACTTTTCAATCCAATACTACTATATTGGTATACTATGGTATACTTAATCGCCATTTAACTGTTCTGATATATGATTATTGAAATGTGGCTTATCAGAATTGTAAAATGGTATACCATAGGTGATAAGCAGGTAATAGGTGGGATAAACATCCCAAGAACACCTCTTTGCAGGTCTTCCAGTGCTTCCAGTTTGGCTCATGCATCCCAATGACGTCTCTCAATGCATCGGTAACTCGTAGTAAGTCCAGACCTCGCAATCGGTTCAACAGTTGGTTGGTGATATTTTTATATAGTTCCCTGGCTACTCAATTCTTCTGTACGTTGAACTATTGAAAATTCTGGAACTCCCAGTGTTGGTATGGGACCCCCAAACTTGTAGACACCCCCAAATACAGTAACAACCAGTTGATTGCGAGTCTTGGACGCACGAAATGCGTTGACCACAGGTAGAAACTCGAGGGTCGACATGGCACAAACATGTTGCACTCCTCCCCAAGAACAGATTCAACAATTACATGTTTTCAATGGCGATCTGGGTGAAACAACAACGACACATTCGGGGCACTCGCAAGTGTGGCGATTTTCTTAGCACGCAGGAATCCAAATATTGGATGCCATCTCCGTTCGATTTTTTCGCAACTTGTCCTTGTGTGGTCAAACCATCATTATTTTGACTCATACTCAAGTTCCTGTACCCACTAAAACATCATTGTATTTTTCACAACGACGGAATCAACTTGTGTGGGTAAACTCATGTCATAGCAATAGATGTAGCCCCTTCACTCCTTGAGTAAAAATCTTTGGCAGGCTACGTCGTCCCAAAAATAGATGGTCAACAAACTTTTGATCATGATTGTTGGTGGTCAATCATCGGAAAATGAAGCCCAATTTTCTTAGGAGCTTAGAATGCCTTAGAGTTTGAACAAAAACCTGAAGAGCACCTGTGTTTTTCATGATTTTTCTGTCTTAGGTCTTCCATTTCTCCGAGATGGATCAAACTGTCCCCATTGAACAAAATATGGAACCTGGGGCCTCTATTCCCTGGTACCTGCAGTTTCTTCTTAATGGATCCAGTAAATCTACATCTGAATCTTCGTTGGGTTAGGAGAAAAATCACCAGGGAAACCCTGGTTTCAACAAGCAATTTAAACGTCAGTTTTCCAGGTGACCACCACTTGGTACAACCCCAATCCAAACCGCTGTTGGTGGTTTGTATTACGGCGTTTGTTTAAAACCTGCCTGCCTCTTTGATTTTAGCTCCACTTTACTTCAAAAGAAATTGGAATTCATCAAAAACTTCATTGCAAACCGCTGATTCAAAAGCAGAATACAATCTGGTTGGTGGTTGGACCATGAATATCTATATATCTGGTTGGTTAATAGTGATGGTTAATAGTGGTTTTCATAGGCTATAAACCAACAACAATGGGAATATGATGATAATCTGGTTGGTGGTTTGAACCCCTCTGAAAAATGATGGAGTCAGGTCAGTTGGGATGATTATTCCATTCTCGAAATATGATGGGAAAGTCATTCAAAATTCCATGGTTCCAAACCACCAACCATATATATATATATCCCATGGGATCCATGTATGCTATATATGGTAACATTTACCATCAATATACCCCAAATGTTAGCATATATATACCATACATGGATCCTATGGGTATATATGCCGTTGGAAAATTAAAGGTTGCTGGTAAAGGCAAAATAATCAGTAAATTCCAAACCACCAAGCAGCGATGGTTAATCTTAGAAAACATTGCAAACAAAATCAAGCTGATCAGTCCCACGATGGTTGGATCATAAAGATTCCCGAAAAAATATTGGGTATATAAGCTATGTAGTATATATAATCCCCTAAACTATTAGGTAATATATATATATAATATAATGTCAACACTGGATCAATAAACCCCTAGGCTGTTTAATTGGGAGGGTACCATTTAAGTATTAGATGATGACTATTGGAGGAGTACCCCCCTAATTTTCATAAACCATGGTTTAGCAAAATCCGGGGTTGACATTAATCCCCTATTATCAATGGTCATTCCAAGATCCTAAAATGGAGGTACTGTACCATATAAGGCCATATTTTGGGGGTATATCCCCTTACATAGGCCTCAAAAATAGGCCTTATATATGAAATCGGTAGCTCCAATTTAGGTTCCTGAAATGGCCGTTGATATTATCATTAAGCAACAGAGGTTTAACAACCCAAAACTCAGGACAGGGCCCAAAGCCCATCTCCTCATGGCAGCCGCGGCACCTTTAAAGGCCCAAAAGTCCGTCGGAGCTTCATCGAACTGGGAGACAAGGCAAGCTGTGGCTGTGCCATGCTGTGGCCGTGTCTGAAAATGGTGGAAACCAAAGGAAAGCATCGGAAAATGGTGATTTATAGTTGTTTCAATGGGATTTATAGTGGTTTTAATGGGATTTAGAGTGGTTTTATTGGGATTTACAGTGGTTTCAATGGGATTTACAGTGGTTTCAATGAGATTTATAGTGGTTTCAATAGGATTTACAGTGGTTTCAATGAGATTTATAGTGGTTTCAATGGGATTTACAATGGTTTCAATGAGATTTATAGTGGTTTCAATGGGGTCTATAGTGGTTTTAACGGGATTTATAGTGGTTTCAATGGGATTTACAATGGTTTCAATGAGATTTATTGTGGTTTCAATGGGGTTTATACTAGTTTTAACGGGATTTATAGTGGTTTTATTGGGATTTAACCATCAAAAATGGTGGAAACTTAACCATTGAGATCCAACAAATTGCTGTACTTGGTGCTTCACCTCAGGAATCGTGGCTGTGGGTTGAAACCGCAGGTTAGCAGAGTTTGGGCTAGGATTGGAACCCATTTACTAACTGCGGTGAAGCATCAAGTAGGGACATGATGATCAACCACTGGACGGCATGAGGTAAACTATTTTCAGACAAACGCATGATGTGTCTGCTGAGAATGGTCATCAAGTACTCCATAGACCGGCCTAAGCCCTGAAGAGTGTGATGATCAGCGATGGCAAATGGGTGTCTCACAAAACCTCTGAAATCACACTTGCTTTCCCAATCAAAAACATGACCAAGCAAACAGAAAACTTAATGATATTGGAGACTCCCACTTTAGGAACTCCGCCATACAATGTATATATATATATATTATGTAATATATATATATAATGACATATAAAAAAAGGATCTTTGTCAACAATGACATGGGGATTCAATACAGGGTATGTCTTATATATAATGTTCGCATGGGCTATTGAACTTGGGGATAACCCAAAGAGCCAGGTGAAGTTACCAGAAGTGGGATCTTTACCACCGTTTATGGGATCACAAAACTGGGCTTTGGAACAGGATTTTCCTATTGGCTGAAAAATCCCTACACTAAATGGAGGTTTAGTTCGCTGGGAACATCATCGAACGAAATGGGAAAAAGAACCAGAACGCCATGCTTGATGACCAGAGGGTACATCCTAAAATTCGGGATTGTCTTTCCTTCCAAGAGTTGCTTCTCACAATGTTGAGGTGATTCCATCCATCTCTCAGTCAGTCACCGAGTTGATTGACATCGAGATCATTGCAGGAGTTCTACCAAAACAACAACTACCTGACGCCAGCAACCAAATCATGGCCAGACTTTTTGATATCCTGCAACTAGAATAACTAGAACTGCACTTTTTATGGCCCAGTTACGCCATGTTAGGCCCAGGCTTTCCTTCAGCGGCACACGAAACACCGACGAAACGGCTCCACCATGCTCCACGTCACCATTTTTTCACTGTCGCGCCTATATGGAATGCGCGCTGCCAATTGCCACAATTGCCAGCGATGCACCTGGCTCCAGGTTTTGACCCCATTTACTATGTCAATATATGTATATGGCTATGGCTATGGATGGCTATGGATCAATACCTAATAGATACATTTTCTTCGGGGATGAACAGATGAACATCCATAAATCCCAGCTATGAACTGATGTGAACAGCAGAGGTTTAGTGGGTTTTGATCCATCTTCCATATTTATCAGTTGTGAAATTAGCGTTCTCAACCAACTTAGCTATCATTTGGGGGCTTCGCCTTGCCATGGTTCAGTGGTTACAACCACGTTGAAGAATCTCTGTAGGTTGTAGATCAGCATCCGGGTATACTCAGTTAGGACAAACCCATTTGGTAGTGGGCAATCCAGGAAAATCATTTGGGGGATTGGGCGCTTGCGCCTATATCATCCTATATCATCCTGTATCATCCTATATCATCCTATATCATCCTATATCATCCTATATCATCCTATATCATCCTATATCATCCATACGTATATTTATTAACATCCTATATCTATATATCTATATTTGTTATAAATATATGTATACATGTATACACCTATATCGTCCTATATCTATATATCAAACCGAGGATGAACATCTACAGAGCATTCCAAGCCCAAAAAATCACGGCATGGGTGGAGTTCGTCCTTGACCATCAGATTCAATGGATTGGTTTAAGGGAAAAATAACAGGAAAACACAATATTTAATGGGACAATCTATTTGGTTGGTGGTTTCAACCCCTCTGAAATATATTAATCAGTTGGGATGATGACATTCCCAATATACGGAAAAATAACAGCCATGTTCCAAACCACCAACCAGCTATGGTTCCCTATAGATTTTCCCTGAAACCAATCTTTCGACAGATGGATTCCAGGACCATTTCGACTGAAACACCTGCATCTAGATGGTACAACTATGGTGGCCGCGCTCTCCCCAGATCTCATGATTCATCACCCATAGGATCCATGGTGCTATATATGGTAACATGGACCCCGTCAATATACCCCAGTCATGTTAGGATATATACCAGCACCTTGGATCCGTCATGGGTCATGGTATTTCCCATATTGCAATGGCTTTTCTATGGGCATTGCGGCATACCCAATCTGCACAGCTGTTTTCCATTGAAATACTTCAAACCACCAGCCGAAGCCTACGATCCCCCTGCCGCCCAAGAAGCCGCGCCTACGATTTGGTAGACCAACGCGCGCTCAGAGGCTTGAGCGAACGATGCTATGGTGACCTTTTTGGAACAACGACGACTTCGACTTGGCTTCTTACCCTCTGGTTATGTCAAAATAGCTATGGAAAATGGCCATTTATAGTGGATTTACCGATTGAAAATGGTGATTTTCCATAGTTATCTTAGTTTACCAGAGGATATAACTATGGAAAATCACAATTTTCAATGGGTAAATCAACTATTTCTATGGTCATTTTCAATAGCAAGCTGTTAGCCCACCAGATGGTAAATTGAGCACCCCATGCCATCCAGTGGTTTATCATCATTTTCCCTCCCGCAGAATCATCATTAGATAGCCATACTTGGGGCTACACATCAGTTTCAGACAAACGCAAATACTACATTTCTGGCTCCCCAGTTTCAAGTTGATTTATAAACCCACATACTGATAGCTACATCTACCGTAAACCACAATACCGACATAAAACAAATCACCTATCTTGGATGCCCCAGTAGTTGGGTGATCCTATCATTCTGCAGCTGGATATTATAATGGTCCTCAATTAGAAACGCAAACGATAAGATGTTGCCCACATGCAGACCCAGCTGCAGACCCAGATTCTACAGGATCTATCAATCCACAACATGGGATAAGACCAAGATATACCAAGCAACACACACACACACGCAGACATCTGTATATATATATACACACATATGCAATATGATGTAATATGTATAGTATGTCATGCTGTCATGCACATACCAAGCGAGTAATGATAATGCAAAACTATACAATCAACAGCATTTCAGATTCAAGTAAAACATTGCCTCCACCCCCTAGATGTGAAACTATTTACATTGGAACTTGAGGTTATACCCTCAGCAATGACTTGAACACAAATTTGAATTCAAGGCGCTAGGCTAGGAGAGAGAGTTTGCTAAATTTTCAGCACTCAACGTATCACTTCGGGGTGCCCAAGAGAATGGGATAGCTCAACATCGAGAATTCATCATCATCTTCGCCACCAACATTGCCATTTTTTGGGTGATGTGGTACACCTAATCAACCACCCCCAGGTTCGAGGTTAATGGGAACTCCTTCTTGCCTGCATTGTGAGTCACATCAACCTGTATACATATTATATATATATGTGCATGCAGTATGTATATACAACATAAAATCAGGATATAACATGTATATAATATAATATATATATAACATGTATATATATAAAGACTTTCTCATTCTTTTTCTGAGCGCAGCAAGACACAATTTATCAAATTAAAAGAGAGAGAAATAACCACACTACCGGGTTATTTAACATTCGGGGCCCGACACTATCCCTCCCCGCCAAACCAAGGAGGGAATAGTGCCCCCCACATACCTCTCACTTTGCCCGCCAATCCGAGCGCCATGAGCTCAGGTACCGGCATTCAACACTTCTCCGTGTTTCTCAAACAAAAGAAGACAAAATAAAGAACCATACGCCCCCCCCAGGGGAATACTCCACAAGGACCTCATCTCCCAAAACAGGAGGTGGGGGGGAAGGGAGCTAAAAGCCAAAATGCTACATCAGAAAGGTCATGCTCAAGTCTTTACAACCGGGACGGGAATACAAAGACTTTCTCATTCTTTTTCTGAGCGCAGCAAGACACAATTTATCAAATTAAAAGAGAGAGAAATAACCACACTACCGGGTTATTTAACATTCGGGGCCCGACACTATCCCTCCCCGCCAAACCAAGGAGGGAATAGTGCCCCCCACATACCTCTCACTTTGCCCGCCAATCCGAGCGCCATGAGCTCAGGTACCGGCATTCAACACTTCTCCGTGTTTCTCAAACAAAAGAAGACAAAATAAAGAACCATACGCCCCCCCCAGGGGAATACTCCACGTCCCCCTGCTCTTCCTGACGGAATGCTCAAGTATTTTGGGACCGCCAAGGTGGGAGTTTCAGCCTAGAAGCATTTACATAAACTTTGTGAAACGCAGTGATGGCTCGGGATGAGATTTTGAGGTCGGTCAGTACCGCTAGACCCTCATTTAAATATGTGCGAGCGGTTCGAGCCGCAAGCCAACGACCTTGTAACAAAATGCGGTCTAGGGATCCATGACGTGAAAACCAGAACGTCGCCCCACCACGACGTAATGAATAAGGTCGGAACCCCACAGACTGAATTTCAAGTGCCTCCAGGCCTTCTTTAAATTTTTTCCGCCACTGTGAGGCAGATGGAACCATGAGAGAATTAGGGGGAACATTGTGTTGCCATTGATTCAAACGCCGTATTACTTCAACTACTGAGATGGTAACGCTTTCAGCGGCACCAGTTCTTTTTCCCGTCTTTGTCCACCCAAGGGACACGACAGCATTAGTATGGCTTTCACTGATCAGGACATCACGGGCACGAATAGCCTGTACCTCCCCAGTACGTAGCATACCGTAATATCCTAGCAGGAGTGATAGGGCCATGGCTGGGTCCTCGTAGAAGAGGAAATAGCCTACTAATGCCTGCAGAATCTTCTCAGGAAAGGGGGGTGCACGGGACGGAATTTCGTGAACTTGCCACGTTTTGAGGAGGCGCCAAGAGGCCGGTATCTGACCCCGCAGCCGAGGATCGATGTCCTGTAAGCTGGCCAGGGTATCCGACGCCAGCGCTCGGCCCTCCCCCGTGGCCCATAGATGTTCAAGATATTCCGTTAAGAGGTTATCCATTTCAGAGCGTTGCCTGGGCAGCAGTAGAGAGTTTAATTTGAGGAAGGAGTAGAATTTATCGCGGGCTTGATCGTAGCGTGCTCGGGTCTTTGGTTGAACCGTCAGCGACTTTAAGGAGCCCATATCTTTGCGGATTTTGCAACGTTCTTGCTTAGTGCGGCCTTCCAGATGCTTCTTTACTTTACCCATTTTCTCACCCGATGGCGCCGACTCGGACGGTCGGCAGGGTTTTGGGATGTATGCACGTACCCCCACAGGGGGTGAAGGTTGGCCGCCAGCAAGTAACTATTGATCCGCATGATAGTCCGTCGTAGTTTTCGGCTTGAGCTCCTGCCCCTTGACAGCGAATGTAAAACAACAAGGGAGTCAGTTAAATGGAGGATACGACATGAGAAACGTTTACGTTGCAGTACTAACCATCGCAATGTGGTCAGGACTGCTCGCATCTCCAACTGGTTTATATGTTCCGGGTCCCCCTTCCACTGCCATCCCGCGATTTCGCGCCAGGTCCACAAGCGACTTGGCACACTACTGCGAAGACGGTGGAATTTCACCAGGGGCTCCGTATGACTTTGGAGGAGCAAGTCTTCTCCCTTCACCGATACCAAACCCCCCAGTCGCTTGGCAAGGTTGCCTTCAGGCACCCGAGCGTCTGTATTTCGCCTCAATGGGGCACGATGCAGGAGGGTTTGTAACCGGCTCCCACGGCCAGGAGTCATGCTATCGATCAAGGCTTGTATCGAGGAGACTGGTGTCAACCCCAAGGGCTGGAACAGCTGTTTCAGAAGGCACACAACCACTTGGACCGACCAGGTATTGCCCAGAAGAGTCTTCCTCAAATCAGAGTAAGCCTCTCCCACCTGATGGCTTTTGGCAACGCAATTTTTTGTATAGTGCAGGGGGAAACCAAGAATGGTTTCATGCTCGGCAATTGTGGCCGGCCGTAGTCGCCCGTCACTGTGCTTGAGGCAGTTTTCCGCCCGGTATTGATAGGGGGGATATCGATGTTTATCCTCTTTCCATCTGGTTTTCGTGGGGAGGTCACTCAATCCTGCTGGCTTGCGCCCAGGAGTTTCAGAGGGTCTAGCCGTGGTAAAGGTGGGGAGTCGTTGGTCAGCAGTGATGGCCCAGCCAGGTTCCACGTAGTCCTTGTAATCAAATTCAGCCGTGAGCTGGGCCACACGGTAAGCATTCCAATGCTCCCCCACCCACTCTGATAGGGCTAAACCCTCCTCCGGAACCAACTCCCACGATAACCAATACAGTCGCGGGCGATGGGCCAGACTGACCCCCGCGGCATCCACCTGATAGGGGTAAGTGTCCACCCCCTCTGACATCGTACCACGGTCATCTTCATCCATCGACGCCACATTTTCCATCATGTATATGGGTCTGAGCCCACGGAAAGGCGGTTCGAACCATCCTGACCACCCTGGGAACCTCCCGGAACAAGGAGCTACGGCGACCCCGTGTGGCCCCCTTACGGTCCGCGTTCAACTTGCTGACATCTTGGCAAGGAGGCCCCGCCCCGATCAGCACTACCCCCACTGAAGTGAAACGACAGGCCCACTGTCGCACGTCCTCCTCGGTGATGGCGCAGACATCCTTGTAGTGAAGGCAGCCCGGAAACATACTTTCAACTACCCTCGAGGCCGCTTCGTTACACTCCACGCTCACGTGGCCTGCCATGGGCAGGTGCAGGAGGTCAGCGGCCACCCGCAGTGCTGCGATACCGTCGAACAACCCGATCGTTAATACCTGAATATAATCAAAGGCCTCAGGTATATCCCCCCGCACAGGTGCTGCCAAGGCGGACACCCCATAAGCGGTGAGACCTGAGGTAACACAGAAACCTCCGCCTGTAGTTGAAGCGTCACTGGCTGTGACTTGAGGATGCATGGTAGCCCTGAAATCCATTTGCCCTAGCGGCACAAGTGCCACAAAGCGGATCATCTCGGCCTGGACATTAAAGGGGATTGGACGTCGCACTACAGGAGGCTCCTGTTTCAGGTCTTCAATCTGCCTCCAGATGGCGTTCAGGGAGCACAACAATGCTCTCCTGAACATTGTGATGTACACCATCCCCCCAGCCACTACCTGAAGCTCCCGCTGTGAGGCCGACCCCCTGTCCAGGAGCTCCAGGGTGAGACCCACATATTTCAAGACCTTAGACGGCTTTGCATAAGCCACCCCTTCCTGACCATCAAATATGGCCCCTTGTACCTCAGCTCGCAACCCCCCTTCAACTGATTTCTTCGGGTGGCGAGGGAGTTGCAGCTCTTCATACTGGGCCCGTAGAGCCAACTGATGGGCGGAAGGCTTGCCTTCCACATCGGCTGCCAGGTCCCGGTCTACCTTACGGAGCTCGTCCCAATTGTCCAAGTAAATCCTGAAGATCTCTTTGGACACCGTGGCAGGACGGTCTCGCCTCATTTCCCGTTGCGCTCCCCACCCTTCAGGTTCATCAGGAGCACTCCATCGGCACACATTTCGGTGGATGTGCTGGGCCAATCCCACCGAGTTGATGAAACCCATAGGTAAAACCAGTGACACTAAATGGCAAACCCTGCCTTTCAAGTCAGGAGGCAGCAAATGCTGAGCCACCTCCCTAGCAAAGCCCAAATACTTTCGCCAACCGGGGGGAACTTGGAACAGATAATAGAAACACTTTATGTCCTCCGACCCCAACATTGCTACCTCGCCTTCCTCCAGGTAGAAGCTGCTGAAGTTGGCAATGGTCGGCATAGTGCCAGTGTCTCCTTGTATCGGGCGGCATAAGCGGTTTAACGGAACCAAATTCATTATAAGTCTACAAACCTCACGGCAGTTGACAAATTCATTCTTTCCGACAGCGAAAAGGCCATTTAGTAACGGTCGCCCTGAAACTGTATAAAGGTCTTCTACTGGAAGTACACCACAAATACCCGACTCAATTAGCCCTTTACACACCCGATCCCAGGCGTGCTCTTCCACCATAATTCTAGGGGTACGACCTAACACCTGGAGTTCCGGAGGGACAAGATAGTTCTCAAAGGATCTGATGTAGTTTAGGCATCCCCCCGAACAGAAATCTTCTAACTGTAAGGTACCCACTTCTTGAGGGAGAGAAGGAGCAATACACTCCCAGGTGAAGGACCGGGCCAGTCGTATCTCTTCACCCCGATAATCGACCCCCTTGACGTCGAAATAAGTACCAAAATCCTCTGTAGGAACCACTTCATCCCAAGTCCATACCCTGTCTAAAAAAGATCTCAACACACGGCCAACCTCTTTTTGCGCCTCGGATACCACCATAGCTTCTCCAGCTGCACTGCCATTGAGCTCATTCAGCCCAATCACCATCGCTTCTAGCCAGGCTTGTCGCTGGGAGTCCACTTCTTTGCAAATCTCAAGGGGTAAAGGAAACAAATCCTTCACCGCCGTGGACAAAGTCTTGCTGCGTATGGTAGATCGAAGATATTTTTTGAGAAGTGCATTAATATGGACTCCCAAATCTCGCAGCCGCTGACCGTGTGCACCCAGCTTCTGGTGAAACGCATCTACAGCTGGCAGCCCTGTATCGGCGCGGCCCACGCTCGTCGGCGTAAGCGCAGACATGCACTCAGGGTTCAAGTCACCCCAATTCGGTGCCACCCCCGTGAGGTGGCTACCAGGCTCAGTCCGCCCAGTTGCAAAAGTCACTCCACAATCCGTATGGCCAGAGCAAGCCTCTCCCGCAGCCAACCTTTTCAACTCGATCTGCGGTTGACCTAGGAGTGGCCCACTCCCGCCGTTTTCCCCCGGTGCCAAACAGGGGAATTTTCGTAGTGTCTGAATCGGTGAAACATGGTTTGAGTCGCCCTGAACTGAGGAGCTTGCTGCTAACTCCCCTTGGCCTCCTTGTTGTCGCCTTTTTTGCCCTCGCCCTTCTTGGTCTCGGTCTTGCCACCTTTTCCTTTGCCGCCCTTCCGTTGGTTGCCCTTGCCATGGTCCTCGGTCCGAGGAGGATAGGAGCTCCGGCTCCCGTAGGGGCGCGAACTCTCCAATCGCATCTTCCCTTCCTCCCGCGCCCGACGGGCAGCGTCCTGCATTTCCACTACTGTACTCATTGAAGCCCCCTCCTTGGGAATCAATTCTTGTTGTTGAGCTACTGTAAAATGTACGCCGCTGGCCTGTGCTTCTAACGCCTTGAGGCGTTGGGCGCCCAGATCGAGCGCGTCCGCCACCTTCCCCCGCAACAGGTGATCGAGGAGGTGGGATATCGTTTGAGCTTCTCGTGACATGGCGGGGCTCATCTTTGAGCTGAGTTGTTGACGAAAATACCGGACAAACAAGGGGGGGAGTGCCCCCGAGTGGAGGTCCCATAACCCCCCCTCGTGGGTCACTAGCGCATCCGACGCCTCGTCCAAGGCCGCAGCGGCCAACGACCCTGGCAGACGGCGTCCGATGAGCTGCACCCTTCCACTGCCCCCGAACAGGTGCATATCGTCGGCCGGAAGCGTCTCTTCGGCGGGACTGCTGTCGCTGCTGCTCCCCGATGAGGAGCTGGAGCCCATCCTCTTCTTCCGGGCTATCTTGCCTGCGCGCCGCCTGAACCGTCGTCGGACTTTTGGGTCGGGGTCCAGGCCGGTGTTTTGGAAAAGGGCCACTATCTCCTTTTGGCTCTCGACCTTCAAACCTGTTTTCCGCCGCTTCCGACTCCGACTCCGCCTCCTTCGTGACCGGCTTCGTTTGTCGCGTCCGTGAGCCACTCCCTCTCCAGGAGTTTCTCCTCCTCGGCGTCGCTGATCGGCCCTCAGCACCTGAAGTTCGTCCTCCCCGGTGTCGGGTGGGGCTTCTACGGGACCCAGGTTGCTCATCCACGGCTCCCGGTCGTCCCCTAACTGCTTGAACTTGGTGACGTGGATCAGGTCGTCGCGGTGCGGAGTTCCCCCGCAGGTGTAATCGCACAGGTGGACATCCACCCGGTGGTCCGGCAATCCCGTCGCCACCTTTAGGAGCCGCTCGGACTGCGTACCCAAGAGACGCCCCTTCAAGTACAGCTCCCCCTTGTCCAGCTGCATACTCTCCATCTTGAAAGCCGCCCTGACCGGCTCGGCCCAGTATGTAGCCTCCATAAGTTCCAGGTCTGTAAAACCTTTGCACTGTTCCAAGGTCACTGCATGACTGAAGATGACTTTTGCTGCTGCCGGACCAGGCCGCCGCGGCCTGGCGGGACCCGCCTTTGCCTTTGCCTTCCCCCGCGCCCGCCCAGGGGAGGCCGCCGGGCGCCTCAGCTTCGGCGCCATCTAGCGGTGGCGGGGTCGCCTCCGGCCCTGGCGGTCTCGGAAGGCTTTGTTTCGTTTCCGTTTTGTCACTCCTTTGTTTTTCCCAAAGTGTTTTCCCTGTCCAGGAGGTGGCTCTCTCCTGTAAGCCCTGATAGGCCCCTGCCACCTTGACCCACCAGGCCTAGGGCTCCGCCTGTCTGGGACCTCCCTTCGAGGAGGAGGTGGCCGTGAAGGGCTCCGAGGCCGCTCCAGATCAGGGGTGAAATGCTCTTCTTCCTCCCCCTCTTCGTAGTACTCGGCCGTCTCAACACCCGGTCCTTCTGCAGGTGTCCTAGGAGCTGGGCTAGGCTCCCTCTTGATGGGTCGTCGCCTTCGACTGCGGCTCCGAGTCCGACGACTCCGCTTGCGATGGCGACTCCTTGGGCTCCGACTGCGACTACGAGGACGGTGACTCCTGCGAGGTAAAGGCGGTCTCTCGTCCTGCGAATGCTCAGACTTTGCTCTCTTATCCACAGGCTCTGGCTTTGCAGGTGGCAGTGCTTCTTCGGCAGGTACAGCGGGCGGCAACGCTGCTTCTTGGGTCTCGGTTTTGACAGGCGGAGGGGCTTTTGAGGTCGCAGCCGTCACTACACTTGGAGCTTTGGGTAGGCCCTCAGTATTTGGAGGTGGCGGCAGTGGTGGCCCTATAACCCCCCGGATTTCACCACCAGGGGTCAGTTGGGGTCCCGAGGGGTTTGGCACGACCCCCCTGCAGATCTCCCCAATGTCTTGTACCTCGGCCAGCCACCCCCGGAGCGCCCGCAGCAGCACCCCCTCGGCACTCAGGGGTATAGAAGACCCCCGGATCAAGGCCGAAAGCCGATCGAGGGTGCGGCAAATCGCGCACACCCCACCCCCTTGCTCCACCCACTTTCCACAGGTGGTGCACACAGGGGGGGGCATGAAAAAACGTGTAGCTAAAAGCCAAAATGCTACATCAGAAAGGTCATGCTCAAGTCTTTACAACCGGGACGGGAATACATATATATATATATATATATCTACTTCAACATTTAAGTTGTGCAAACACAATCTTCAAACAGTCATTACAAGAACTCACCTGTTGGACGGATTCTCCAACACTTCTTTCGCAAGATGCCTCCACCAAAATCTGCCTCCAGTCATCACAATCTTTTTTCACAGGCGACAGAAAATTGGAGCTCCGGTCCGGTTGGTCCATGTTTCCAGTGTGTTTCCAATTGCAGATTCTGTGATAAACTGTGGCCCATATAGATACTTCATATGAAAAACATACTGTTGTTCATATAATTACATACTTCAAAGATCTGGTCAACCCAACATTGGGGCTCTCTTTCAAAGGTGCCACAACTGCTGTCTGAAAGGTCTGACCTGTGCTAACCGTATCGCCGCTCCAACTAGCTCCAACGAGACTCGCCAGTCTCAAGTGCTTTTCCCTTTGCCAATCTTCGTTCCTTTCAAAACGAGGAGCTTTTTTTGACGTCATAGTAACAATTTGCATAGCAACATAGCCAAAGTACTAAAGTGTAACCCATCCAGTTGCTTGACCCAGTTTATCAGAAAGGAACACCGGGAAAATCGTTGCCTCCTGGGCCACTGGAAACACAGACCCCTTTAGGCCGCTCGAAGAATTCAAGCAATCCATGTGCTTCAGCGATGGTAAAGCAATGGAATTCAGATAGATCTTCTTCAACCGCATAGATGAAATGAACCAAACAAGAAGTCGTTCACAATTTTGGGTGGAACATCTCTCTACACTTATCACATTTGGTCATCTTTCCATGTCATAAGTCATTCACAATTCATGTGTTCTTACATCAGAGCCAGCCTGATATGTGCTGGCAAAATCACCACATTATCTCATGTCCAGTTGGCTGAATCTCCATATTGTATAAAAATCAACAAAGACAGCAAACAAACAAATGCTATTTTCAAGTGATTCCCGACTGTTTTCTAATTGCAAATCATAAACCTAGGCAAAGTACTATATTTCACATATCAGACTAGAACACTTTGCCATTTTTGGGAGAATGCTCTTCATGCTCTTTCTATAACCATATAACATCATCTGGTTGGTGGTTACAACCACCTTGAAAAATAGGAGTTCGTCAATGGGAAGGATGACATCCCATATATGATGGAAAATAAAACATGTTTGAAACCACCAACCAGTCATATAACATCATTTATCGGTATAACACAAATTGCTGACCCCTGGCTCGGTCGCCAACAGCCGATCTATCGAAGAATTCCCGATGTCCCGCGTCATTTGAAGAGACGCTCCAGCTCCTTGAGCTGCCTCGGCGAGCCGTGGTATTTTCAGCGGCATGAAATCATGGCTGGTTGGTGGCTGACCTATCCCTCTGAAAAATATGAGTTCGTTAGCTGGGATGATGACATTCCCAATATATGGAAAGTCATAAAATTCATGTTCCAAACCACCAACCAGATTGGGATTGGGATTAAATGGGTCTGTCTGCAGATATGGTACCTCTGGATCCATTGCTTACTCCTCATTTTTCCCCATGAAAAATAGCCAATTAGAAGATATACAGCATTCTCAGACAGACCCATATTGACAGACCTATATTGAGATAACTGATAATGAGTGAACTACCGTGACAAAGGAAAGGGTGAAATTGCATTCTATATCTTCTAACCGAGCTACATAGGATTGATTCACATCACTCACAACAAACACATGGATCTCGTGTGACTGAAATCAGTGGATTCCTATCCCGTGATTGGTTGCGCTTATCTGTGAAATCTTGACCTAAACAAGTCGGATTTGTTCAAAAATGGCTACACCCCATTTCGAGACGGTAAATCATGTAAGCATTATCACCATCTGGTTATGACTAACATGGCCATGGAAAATCACCATTTTTAATAGGTAAACCATCTATTTCTATGGGCCATCTATACCGTGGCTATGTTAAATAACCAGAGGGTATATTATTCGGTTGGGTTCTTCGGGCACCCCCCATTTCAGGGCAAATTCCGAGCACCGGAAGTGACCAAGTTTCACCAACCCCAGCCCCGTTCCATCAGTGCTCGATTCGTCGAAGCTCGATGCATGGAGAGTTCGGAATCCGTTTTTTTGAGGGGAGTGTGAACTTTATTAATGGGTAAATCAACGAACTAAATGGCCATTTTCAACAGCAAACTGTAAACGTTTACCAGAGGGAATCATAAACAACATATATCCCTGGTTGGTGGTTATAACCATCTTGAAAAATATGAGTTCGTCAATGGGAAGGATGACATTCCATATATGATGGAAAATAAAACATGTTCCAAACCACCAACCAGTTTTTGACGTATCCAATTTTCCAGTGTTTCATGTCCTGTTGGGTGGATTCAAACGATCACACATGTATTGCCGTTCATTGGTGGGTAAATCATCAGCAAAATTCGACCATCAAACAGCTTTGATACATCTATTATATATATATATATCTCCATCATTGAGCTCTGACATGAAACATTGCCAACACAGATTCAGATTTTTTAGCAAGTGTTTGCCAAAATTCGCCGATGTTTGGTGAATGATCCTTTGATCCTCTTGGTGAAATCCAATGTTTCCTCTCAAAGTCCCAACTTTTGAATCCACTTGTTTTAAAAACCACATGAAAACCACAGCTTTAGGTTTCAGATTCTTTGCTGAACTTCAAACAACCAAACGGATCCAGCCTTCCCCCAGCCTTCCAGCCATCCACCTGCCCCTGTTGCGCCGGGCCACGCCGGCAGGGTGTCGAGCCCGGCGTGCGCCGCCAGCAGCCCGCTGCCGGCCACGGCCGGGACGCCGATGCCGGGGAAGCACGAGTCGCCGCAGAGCAGGAGCCCTTTGGATGGCGAAAAGAGGCCAAAAACTGAGATTCTTAGCTGGTGAATGTAGATAATGCCATTGATAAAGATCCAAAAGTCATCAAAAGTAGTCTAAGGATTAATTAGTAAAGCCTAAGGATTAGTTGAAGATAATCCCATTGATACCACACAGATCCAAAAGAAAGGATGAGTTTCTACATGTTTCATCATGTTTCTACCCATCATCTACCCTCTGGTAAACTAACATAACTATGGAAAATCGCAATTTTTAATGGGAAAATCCACTATTTCGACTGGGCCATTTTCAATAGCTATGTTTGACATAACCAGAGGGTAAGATTGACCTAGAAAAGCAGATATGGCCTTCACGGATTGATTTCACCATCGATGATTCAAAAAAGGATCCATTGGATCCATGGGTAATCCAATCCATATCCATCATTAAACTATGGATATAAACTATGTATGGATAATTATAGTTAATAGTGGGTTAATAGTGGTTAATAGTGGGTTAATAGTGGCTTAATAGTGGTTAATAATGGGATGAACTATGGATATTCATACATATACATATACTGGTTGGTGGTTGCTGCTAGCCCCTCTGAAAAATGATGGAGTGAAAGTCAGTTGGGATGATGACATTCCCAACTGAATGGAAAAAACATGTTCCAAACCACCAACCAGAAAAATATTGGCGGTTGAACTAGCCATGCAAGAATGAAACCGGCTAAAAGTTGGAGAAACTGAGGATAGCAATTGATTTCATCCCATGATAAAATGATTGTTTGGGAACATCAAAAAGCCGGGATTTCACAACTAAAAGTTGGATCAACATGGAAATTTCGCTTGGGAGATCTTGGCATGTTATTCGGGTAATTTCAGTCAGATTTAACAAATAATCATCAGAAATATCAGGATCGAACCAGGAGGAGTGGGGATTGAAATAGCAACATTATGAAAACTGAGGATAAAACTGGATTTCACAGAAACATGTTTTTTTTTAAAATCGGATCATCTGTAGAAGGTGATAAAACCAACCATTTTTAGAGATTTCACCAAGAGAACCTGAGGATTTCATGGGATTTTGATGTCTACAACTTGGGATGCTTAAATGAAGTACCGTAAAGAATAAGAGAATTCAACTTCATGAATTGGGAGTCTTGCTATACAACATAGTATGGATTTGATCAGAAGAGCGGCTAAGAAAACATGGATAAAACACAGGAGTTGCTGCACAATTAGGATTTAAACCCATGTATTTAAGCAATGAAATCGCCTTTTAACTCAAGTTGTTTGCTTTCTACGATGGTTTTTGACTCGTTCCAATCCATGATTAACGGGGCATGCTTGTGTCCAAAATCGAATTGATTAAATGACTTCATGATCATATTTAACCGCATGTATATATATATAGCATTCTATTTGGAAGTTGACATGGTTTGGATGTAGCAGGATATTTTTTGGTCGTTTTAAGCATCAAAATCCATTCAAGCTTGGAGGATCAAGGGTAACAAACAAGTGAGTTGGGACATGTTGGCACAGGTTTAAGGAGGCCTGCGCTATGTGACATGGAACCCATCAAATTGGAGTTTGTTCCTGTAGCATCCTGTAGCTATATAATGCTATATACCTGTTGGAGCTAGAAGCTGGAGGTGGAAGGGATTGGGATATTTCGGTGATATGACATGGTACCAGCAGATGGGATAAATATGGCTCCTGCTCTTCACGAAGTCATTCTCATTTCAACACTGCGGATGAAGCAGGCTTACATTCTCCAATGCGGGTTTGATGGCCTCACATTGCTCATCTGTGAACATTTGAGCAGTGGAGCTTGATGCCTCTGTCGGGTCTTGAGAGTCATGGAAAGCTCATCCCACTTCTTCATTCCTGCGCGCTTGTCCGGGTTCATGTTGTCTGGTGTCCGGGCATTGCGGACATACAACCCGATTTGTACTAATTGAGCGCAGTTCATCTGCAAATTGCGTGCGCTTTTGCGGCCTGCACTTCGTTCAAGAGGCTCGCTGGTTTGTTCTCCGGGAAGTGTCAATGAAGCGCATCCCAGCAAAAGAAGCAACTTCCACGCTAAAACATGGACTGTTTGGTGGTTGACCTACCCCTCTGAAAAATGATGGAGTCCGTCAGTTGGGATGATGAAATTCCCAACTGAATGGAAAGTCATAAAATTCCATGGTTCCAAACCACCAACCAGTGGATGATTGCGGGTTCATGCAAAATAACACGACAAGGGAGTCGATGTTTCGATCGTTTCGATCGTGTTGAAAACGCGTAATTGAGCTCACCTTGCAAACAATGCCAGCACACGGCCCACTTTTCCCACTAAACTCTGCTATTTGGGGATATACAACCCATTTTCAGACACACCCATATAGTCATGGATAGTTATATATCCCATACAAAATCGCATTAAATCCCGTCAAATCTCCGTTTTGATGGTTAAAACCACTATGAATCAAGCTTATTAGCGACATTAAGTTCCATTAAAACCTATTAAATCTCCATTAAACCCCATTAGAATCACAATTACATCCCATTAAATCCCATTAAAACCACTATAAAATCCATTAAACCCCCATTCAAACATACTAAAACCACGATAAATATGTGGGAAACCCTGCGACCAACATGCCTGGCAGCGGCGTCGCAGCACCTGGAAATTCCGCTTGGCCCGCCTTGATTCGCGGGCCATACGTACCTGGCTGACGCTGAGACACACCTGAAACATCCTGAAACAAGGTACCGGCGCCAATAGCGACCCTGAGGAATTTGAAAATTGTTCGAAATGGCAAGAGCTCAAAACCTGCATTTCGGAGCATTTTTATGTGGAAGTGAAAATTTCAAGGCCTCAAATTTGTTGGTATTTTCAAGAAGGCCAACCATTTTTCATTTTGGGCCAGTGGAATTGCGGTTTTCAGGCCTATTTTTTTGAAAAAAACAAACACCTAAATTTTCACAAGAGATATATTATTTGAAATGAAATTACCGTTGAGTAGCTCAGCATCATCTATGTTACATGAAGTGAACTTCTAATAGCATAACATTATATTTTATATATGAGATATGATATTAACGTTACGTGGCGTAGCATCATCTATGTTACATGAAGTTAACTTCAAGTAACATAACATCTTATTTGAATTTAAGTTGACGTCAAGTAGCGTAGCAACATCTATGTTAGATGACGTGTGCTTGATTTAGCGGAGCATTACGTATGTGACAAGAGGTTAGTTTGAAGTAGCATCTCATCTTATTCGACCTGAAGGTCACGTGAAGTAGCGCAGCATCTTGTATGTATGCAAGCGCTATTGTATTGCACCCCCCCACCCCCCGAAAGCCCTACGATCAGAAGCAAGTAGCGTAACATCACGTATATTAGTGCAGGTCAGCGTCAAAGTTAGCGCAATCCACTGAGAGTGCAAGAGATGTGTGCAAGCGCAAGATTTGTTTAAGCAGCATACAATGATGCATGCTAGTTCAACTTAACCTGACATAGCAAAAAATCATCTATGTTAGGAGAAGTCAACATTACGTACCGTAGCATAAATTACATTAGATGAAGTCACCTTTCAGTAGCACGGCATCACCTGCACCCTACAAGCAACGTCAAGTAACATTGCATCTTCTAGAAATGCAAATGCTCTTAAACGTTATTGCACCCCCCAACCCCCCGCCCACCCGAAACCCCCCAAAACTAGAAAATTGTGTTTTCCTATGGGGTCGCTAACAGGGCCGCTAGCTTAAACAACAGGGAAAGTGTTGCAAAGTTTTGGGTTTAAAGGAAAACAAACATGAGAACATCAGCAGGTTTCATTTTCATTTACCTAGAACTATCATCAGCAGGATATCTTTCATTTATTGTGAAGATCGGGTAAAGTCCATATTTTTCGGGGTAAACTTAAAACAACAACTAAACCTCAACCCCCTGTGGGGATGGAAAAATGCATGGCACCTTGGTGTCGATGTAGAAAGCGTTGATGTGTCAGAGGAGTACCAATGAGATGCACCTGTCGAAAGTTTTGCGGAAATCGCCATGAAAATCCAATGCAGCTTCGAATGGAAAATCAAAGGAAACGATGGGACAATCACCGCACTAAATGGAGGCTGGTTGGTGGTGCAATGTGCCCATCTTGAAAAATGATGGAGTTCGTCAATGGGGTTGGGATGACATCCCATATATGAAATGGAAAATGATAAATGTTTGAAACCACCAACCAGGAGGTTTATAGCTGGGAACATCATCTTTTTCAATAGAGGACTTTAACAGTGCCATGTTTGATTACCAGACTACCAGAGGGTAAACCATGAAATATATGAAATGAAATCTAAAAAAAATTGGCCTTTCATCGATTCTGCACATGTTTGAAGCAACATGGATTTTCAAGGTGCTGGTCCGTGTAGGGAAGTATACGCTGGTTTTGAAGTAGGCGAACCACGAGATTTACATCGATTTACTGGATTACCCGGCCTGGTAAACGTTTGCAAAAAACTATGGAACATCACCATTTTTAATGGGACAACAAAAACGATTTATGGGACAACTCACGATTTCAATGACCATTTTCAATAGCAAACTGTACCATATCATGAAATTCACCATTGTTAACCATTAAATCACCATTTTCCTATGGTTTTCCATGTCGGGTACCAGGTTTCTGGTGGAGATATCTGCCACAGGTTTCTCGCTGGAATTATTCATGACCAACTTCCTCCAGATCTTCCCCGCCTGGAATTGGTGCACAGATAGTGTGGCTTACCATGATAAATGGGGATGTCATAGGGATTTTTACCATCCAAAATGGTGATTTATTGGGGGTATTTGCAGCAAAGCATTGAAGTATTCCCATCCCTCCTTTCATGTTGAACATCCCCCCCAGAAGTAAGAGATGAAACCACATGAAACCACATATTTGGGACCATAGAATGGGGCTGTTTCATATTAGGAAGATGAGAACAATACATAAATATACTGTCCTTTTGGTAGAAATAGAGGGACCGGGAGCTGGTATACCATCTGTCATCATTTACTTATTGTTAAAGGGGTTTCTTCAAAGCCCTCTATTTATCAACCAACCAATGGGAAAAGGACATCTATGATGATAAATCTGGAAATTCCTGAAAAACTTAGCTTTAAATGTTTAACTTGAAACATCAAATATTCCGAAAATTGTGGTAAAACATTGAAAAATACCATGTACAAAAAGTATGTCTTTAGCTGGATCCATTCTCCCTCTTCCTGGCTAAGAATACATCTTCACCCAACCTTCGCTCAGGTCTACCCACTCAATTATATCTTAATTATTACATCACATTCACTAATCATAGCTACCTGCTCAAAAATTATTCCCTGGTCAAGACCCTGTCATATGGGATATGGTCATCCATCCCAAAAGTGGGTATTCTTACCACAATTAATCATAAATGTAAAAATCCCTATTGATGGATAAGTGACCATCCCCTTTGATGGAAAAACAATCCATGATTTGACGATGGCACATATGCGTTTCGGTGGTTAGTAACTCAACTCTTGGCCCATCAAATCGACTGCCTTGGGACCAATGTCCCTGAAACTGAGACCAAAAAAAAATCTGACAAAACATGAAAGTACGAACTAAACATGGCCAATCTGAGATACCTAGCAAACAAACAAACTTAGCTGGTTAGTAGATAATCCTATTGATACCAAAAGACTAAAGGATCAGTTTCTACACATCTAAGATTGACCTAGCTATGGGTTTTCCCATGTTTTCTCAGTTTATAGGTGATTTATATATACGGAGACTACATTTAAATATACGGACTTTTAAATATACGAACAAGTATTTTAGACTACCTCCGAGAAGGTTTTCCTTGGCCCGCCCGGCCATTTAAACATACGGAATCCAATTAAATTGAACATACGCTAACTACATTTAAATATACGAACTCGTATTTCATACTACCTCCGGGGCCTCGCGGTCTGGCCCGCCCTCCACATATCTAAATGTCGTTACCGTAGTTTTCCTATGGTTTTCCTAGTTTATAAACCATTCGCCAAGCATTCGCCTGGGGGTCTCTGTCAAACATCATCCCGTCGCTGCGCCTTGCTGCGCTGCCGGATGTCGGGGATTGGCCTTTCCAGCTGCTTCCAAAGGTATTCCGCACGTTGTTCCTTCAAGACCTGAGCTTCACCAAACTGAAAAAACAACTGTGTAAAAAAGTCTGGGCCATTTTTTGTTAGAAAGTTACTACTCAGTTGATCAACAAAATACAGTAAGAAAGCAAAAAAAGGGATACAATAATGGGCCAATAATGTGGTAAATATAACATAATATAACCCAACATATACCAAAACAAACATGGGATTCAAGCCATATCTGATAATTAATCATGATAGGAAAGTTGGTTTACAGCAGTCGGAAGACAATCTCATCCCTATCATGCCCCTAACATTTTTGTTAGCCCCTAATTATTAATTAGACCCCACTGACCCCACATGAGCAAATCCCCCACATATACATGTATTACCCTCTGATAAATTAACATAGACCCTGGCAGATAGGGGTTGGAAGACTAGTTTCCATTAAACAATGGTGATTTTCAGGGTCTATGTTTATTTACCAGAGGGTATCTAATACATGTATTATCTAACTATACTTATACTCGCCTTAAACACTCGTCAAACTACTTATTTCAAGCAACTTACCATAAATCTCCTATAAAGTCCCATGAATCTCAATTTTTCTTGGTTGATTGTTGATACCCGGCCTGGTAAACATACGACGTTAGCTATTGAACATGGCCATAAAAATAGTGAGTTTTCCTATTAAAAATTGTGATTTTCCATAGTTTTGTATACGTTTACCAGAGGGTACCCTAATTTTTTAAGGACCTCAGATGGCCCGTTCAAACCAGCCTTGTACTCCTCCGACCTGCGGTCCAAGTTCTTCCATCTGTCCCAAGACTCCTGGAGAAGTTCTCAGCGAAAAATCAATGGCGAAATTTATAAACCATTATAAACCCAATAACGATATATAGTTATATCAGTTATATCAGTTATATCTACCATAAACCATAGTTAAACCACTAATCTCTCAACTGAACGCTATCGACTGGGGGCCCCATCCTGTAACCTCTAGTGATGGCTGAAAAAATCCGGCATCTAAATGGAGGTTTCAAGCTGGGAAAATCATCTATAAATATGCAATCTGCTTTAATCTTTGTCATCTAGGTTTGTAGTACCCTCCGGCAATCAAACATGGCTAGCTGTAAAATCCTCTATTGTTGAAGGATTTTCCATTAACACCTTCATTCAGCGCAGGGATTTTCCATTGCCATGTTGTCGGAGGCCGGAGGGTAGTTGGATGATCATCCAGCGACTGCATATAACCAATAGACATTGGGATTTGACAACCAATGATAAGTAAACAACATGTGAATGTAGCATGATTCAATATGATTTATAAAACTTATCAGTATAGTTTTTACGGGGATCGTCTGAAATATCAAGAAGGTACAGTGAAACCACTGTTTAGGAACCCATTGCCAACCTTAGATACCCTGCAAAAAAAATCTCTGCTGGTTAGTAGATATTCCCATTGATACCAAAAGACTAAAGGATTAAAGTACCCATGTAAGATTGACCTAGAACCCACTGCAATAAGAACTTCAGGGGCTGGATTGCTGGATTCAACCCTTTATGTCAGCTAATTGAAATAAGAAGCCTACAGTACCCTGGAATTCTAACCACTGGTTCTTATTCCCCTTGAACGGGTATCAATATACCAAGCATTGATTATTGATATATGAAAGCAAGAAGCAAGCAAATCGCTAGCGCCACAGGGACTGGAACTCCAAACACAACAACCTGAGAGCCCGACACCAACCGGACTCACTAGAGGCCATCTGACTTCAAATGCTGCCCTTGGCTTGTGTTTTTTCTTCCCCCCGCCTCCTTTGCAACCTAATACCACGCCAAAATAAACTTTCAAACCCTGGCATGGTGGAATATCTGGCCTATAGCTCTGTTTGGAATGCCTGCACCTGAAGAAACAAATCGGGGCCTAAAAAGTCTTTTTCTTCCCCCTGCCTCCTTTGCAACCTAATACCACGCCAAAATGAATTGGCAAAACCCTCACCACATGAACCCTTTAAGAACTAACCCGTTAAGAACTTGAGGGTACCCTCGTTCATAATTCCCACATTTTCCACCTATAGCACTAAAAACCCAAGGGTAGGCTGGAAAATTCTTAATCGGTTCTTATCTAACGGTTCTGCTGTACCGATATCTTTGAATCAAATCCCATGTCACTTGATTTCCTCCTCCTCTTTTGCTGGCACCAGAGGGGCCAAATTCCAAAACTGGTAGGGCCCCATTTGTTGGTCCGCATTCAGCACCTATCCCCACTGATATCAATGTTTGCATCCATAACCAACCTCAGATACCCTGCAAAAAATAGTTCAGTCAATGGTTGTCAGTATAGATGTTCCCTATTTCTGTCATTCGCAGCAAAGCATTGAAGTATTCCCATCCCTCCTAATGTTGAACATCCCCCCCAGACGCAAGAGATGAAACCACATGAAACCACAGATTTGGGACCATAGAATGGGGCTGTTTAATATTAGGAAGATGAGAAGAATAAATCACCCTCTGGTAATTTAACATAGCTATTGAACACACCGCATTTATAGTTGATTTACCTATTCAAAATGGTGATTTCTATAGCTATGTTATTTTAACAGAAGGTACACATTCAAGGCTTCCCCGGAATCAATCCCCTGCCCTGGCAGCGCAAAAGAAAGTCGCTCCGTGGCAGGCGTGTAGGCATGCAAAACTCCTGATGGCAACTTTCTAACCATGGCGAATCAACGAACAAACACTAAACATGTAGATTTCACCAACAAACGTATTTTGTTTGGTGGATTGTACCAACAAAATGTGATTTTGTTTTGGATTATACCAACAAAACATGTCTTTTTGGATGTCTTTTTGGAGGCATTTCACCATCAAAATTATCCCATCAATATACATATATATATATATATGAAATCGTTCTATTGGAGACAATATACTGGCTGGAACAAAATACCACTGTATAGACTGTATAGCTCCAATAAATGGGCTTGTCTGCAAACCTCCAAATTTCACGGGTAATTGGATTAGTTAGTTCATTAAAGTGGTTATTTGATGTGTAGTTGACTGGGGGCGGGCTCTCCTGTGCTGAAGTGAAAAGACTAATTGAATCTATTTGATGGTTGTACATACGTGAAACATGGAAAAAATCGGCCTTAGGCACACTATTGCGGGACAGTCGATAGTATGAATTGTATTCCATATCATTTCTTTGACATCTAGCAACTGTTACAACTCCACAAGAAGCCTCCAGTGTAAACAAACGGTCAAGACTCGTTAAGATCAACAGTCAATGGATTTTCTCAAGGGAAAATCTACAGGAAACCATAGATTTTCCCATGAAATATAGGGGGAACCAATCCATTGAAACAGGGATAGCCACCCGTCCAAGCCCTCATCTGCGAGCTGCCACAACCTTCAGGTGCCAAACTGGAGTCTTCCACAGAAGGTATGGAGATGAGCACTGCATTCCTCGATGGAAATTTTGCGACGGATTTTTTTTTGCAGAAATATTCCATGTATAGTTGTTTTATCCTATGGTGATCTCCTTCCCTACTTGGCGGTGCGGGGGAACCATAATAAGTGGCTGAGATTTTACAAATTTATCCCAATTTTTTTAGGTTAACAATTTTTATAGTTATGTATACCCATAAAAAAAAATCCAACTGCACCCCCAAGTTTGCCATTCATGAACAATACATGGGATTCATATAGGAAATTAATTGGGTCATTTCGTGGGAATATAATTTGTAATATAAAGGTAGTAATGTCAACCCTGGATTAATAAACCCCCAGGTTGTTTAATTGGGGGGGGTACCATTTAAGTATCAGATGAAATGACTATTTGGGGAGTACCCCCCTAATTAATAAGTTACAATGGGGTCTATGAACCGTTTAAGAACTCAATCACATGACATGTCCAATGCATTGCAATTTTCAATCACACTGGGATATCATGAGATGTATCACGGGATGATATGCCGACAGTATGCCTGGTTTGTTCAAGATATCTCAGGGGGATTCTCAATTCATAAGCCATACCCCTGATCAACAAAAAGGATATCAATTAATTTAAATCCCCATGTTCATCCAATTTTTGATGGTTGAATCCTCAATTTACATCTATTTTTGATGGTTAAATTGATTAAATCATCATTTCCATCTATCTCTTCGTGTTAAATCCACCAATTTTCTTGGTGAAACCCGTGAAATCCCCATTTCACACGGCACCTTAACACCGCGAAAAAAACCGCGGAAAAAGCGCCGAGCTTCTCTTCAGCCTCTACGCCACGTTGCCAGTCCTGGCGAGTTCCATGTCGGTATCAAGTCGATGGGGTAGATAGATGGATAATGATGGATATATGGTCGGTATATATGGTGTCTATCTATAAGTTGTAAATAATTTACATATCTCTAAATATATGTATATATATACATACATAATATACATATATATATATATTATACATATATATATAAATTTATACACACGATAAGTATGGATATAATACCATGTCATTGTCTGATATGGTGTATTAATAATACATTTTTGGTACATATCGATGGTGGATTTCCATGACCATTTGTACCTCCAATAAATCGGTACCTGAAATGGCCGTTGATTTGATGGTATCAAAAGATGTATGGTATAAATAGTATAGCGAGTGTATATGTATATTTGATATATGGTAGATTTGTGACATGTATATATTTGATATATGGTAGATTTATGGCATGTATATGTATGTATATATACGTGTATATAATAATAACAATAATAATAGTAATAGTAATAATAATATATACATATATATATATATATCTATATCTATATGTATGTATTTCTCTATGAATCTGGCTGAATTGAACCAAGTGGTTCAAAATCATTGTATTTTGTGTTTTTTTTTGCATGTGGTATCTGGATGTATGCGAATGGTATTTCTTTCCATCCAGGCCGCAGCATCGTCATTCGAAAGTGGAAACTGGCTTGCTGAACAGCAAAGGACAATAGATGAGCTCCTCCTGCTCCAGATACTGATGGGTTGCTTCTCTCGAAGCAGTTGGATATTGCAGGCCATTTCGATAAAGTGCAGTTCCAAATTTAGGCTGTTGGATATTGCAGGCCATTTCGATAAAGTGCAGTTCCAAATGTAGGCTGCCGCGTCTTTAAAGCGCCTTGTGAAAGGACTATCGCAAATGTGACTTGGGGAAGGATGATCCACCACCATGGTGTCCACAATCTGCGCAAAAGCATCCTGCAGTATAGACGAGATGCTGCAAGGATAATTAGGTTCTCAGCTACCCCACACACAAGTAACAGCAAACTAGGGGAACATAGGGGAACCCTAGAGAACAGCTACATATTCTCGTTTGAGGCCT